GAATGTCCTTTGCACTGCTTGTGCCAAGGCTTAATGACAGGGGATTGTTAAACCTCCCATATAAATCTTTAACAACTGGGCGAAACTTCAGTCCAAATCTGCAAACTCAAGTGGAAACAGTAAATAGTATTTGCTTCCATTTTTAAGGCCCACTGGATGAGAAACTGCTCTTGCTTTACATTATTTACAGCCATTTGAGATGAATAGACCTACATGTTTATGACTATTTTTACATTGCCATTTCTTAATTTCATGTGGGTTCACATACCTGGGCACTGGGGTAGATACAGCAGAGCCAGCCTGGTTTTATTTTAAGGCCTTTTGGATCAATTCAAATGACTCTGATAATTTTCCCTCTTGAAATAATTTGTTATTACCAGGCTACTTGCTTGCTGTGATTTGAATGTCCCTCTTCTGGGGGCAACTTAGGCCCGGTGCTTCAACGGAAGACAAATATTAGTGATTGCTTAGATCAGTGCTATTCCTAGGAGAGAATTTTCCCCTCATCCTTGGATAACTCACTTTGTGTTTTTGAGACTGCATTTGGATTGACTCTTAGAAAAAGCATCACATAGCCTGCTGAATTCGACGCTAATCTTTCCTTTGGTTTCTGTTTTCTTTTTGAAGTTCACTGAACTTGCCACGTGTCTTGTTTGTTTCAAAATCTTTTAAATGGTCACAACATTACGCTTTTTAAAATGCAGCTGTATGCCCAGCCTACTCCGTGGAAGATGTTCACTGAGCTAAGCTTGGGTTAATCTGAGCTCAAACATCATGGTCACCAGTGTCAATGTCCCTTTACACCAGCTGAAGGTCTGGCCTGGCATAGAGGGCTGCCAGCAATTAATCCTGTAATGATTAATCAAGGTCACCATCAGGCCTCTGCACTCCTGGTCTTAGAGCTGGCAGGACTCAGGAATGAAGGATGCAGTGGAATTTGGGCTCCTCTCTGTTGCAAGAGTTGCCTAGGGTGAATCTAAGCTAGACTTGTGCTTCAGACTCGCTTATCTGAGTGTCCAAGCACTGCAGAGTACGCGAAGCAAGGAACTACGGTTTTATTGCATTTTCCAGTCATTAAATTTCTGCAGTGACTCCTCCTCAGTGTTTTTTTGAAGGCTAAATAAATCCTGCTTCTACAATCCTCTTTTTGTATTCAAACCTCACCACCTCTCTTCCTTTGCTTCTCATAGATCATGCCATTCATTCTGTTAACAAAAATAAAGTGTATTTTCTTTTTTCTTCCAAATGGGCAAAGTAAATGGAGAAATGGTGTAATGTGTGTAATAGGCAGGCTGTTTTTTGGGTGTTGTCTCACACAGGGTGAGGAAGCTTCCCTGTGACAAACCCATGACTCACCGTGGAGTGCCAGAAGGGTTACAGGTCTGCTGTGGGGTAATGCTGTTGCCCTTTAAGGGAATTTTTTTTTTTATTTTGTCCATTTTTTTTCACAAGGTGAGGAAATAAATTGTATTTACTGTGAGAGAGGAATCAGCAGCAGGATTCTGTGCTTACTCCTCCTGATGGAAATCAAAAGTAATGTAAGTGGAGTCAGTGGAGTGTGACAGAGTACAAACCCAAAGAGTACCTGCTCGTCATGCCTGTTTTACCTACAGTTGATAAGGACTGTGAGGTGCTGGTCTCAAATATACTCAGAGGCTCTTTTCCCTAATTAGAATTGGCATTAAAAGAAAACAGTGGATGTTTTCTCATCCAGTGAACCCTGTTTCCCAAAGACCTCTGCCATTAGCATTTGCTGCTTACATTCATAATTATTATTACTTTGGCTTTTTATTGTTTGTCTTTTTTTTTTTTTCCTTCTTGGACAGAACAGACTTTTAGTCAAAGCCCAGGTCTGTAGGATTTATCTTCTGTACCAAGGATACAATGTTCCCAATGCCTGGAAAGCAGCACATCATATTTTAACTTAAAATTTGCAGTATTGTGTAATTGCTGCTTCACATGATCTGACCCCACAGACCTCTTGACTTGAACTACAGTTGCCTGACAACAGCAGCTACACTATACAGCATAGCTAAACCACTGAATTACCTGAGCCAGCCTTGCCTTTCTAATGATGCTGGGAACCAATGGAATCAGGTTTGAGCATTTTGCAAGGGAAATATATATTGGCAATTTTTAATGGACTGCATGTCATTCACTAGATGTACCATTTCTTGTTTTCCTGCTAATTTCTTTTCACATATGTTCATGAGCATTAGTTTCTGAATTCTTTTCCTCAGCCTCCATTTGCAGCTATTGCCGTATCTTTCCTAAGAGGTGGCACCCAAAACTGAACACGGTCCTCCAAATTCAAATGCTCCATTGTTCAGGATTCTGTCATTATATTATCTTCTGCATTATTTTTATATCCTCTTATTAAGGCACCCACACACCCCATTTGCATTTTTTAACCTTTTTAAAAACGTTTTCATTACAACAATCAGATATAAGGGCAATGAAGTAAGTGTAGAACAATAGAAGTGAAGATTTTGATCCTCCTCAGACCTAAACCTGTTTTAAATTTCAGTGGTGACACTGACTTTGATTTACACTGAAAGGAAAGAGGAAGGATCAGGCTGTGCATGTCTACAGTGGGACATCCATTTTTGATAGTTAATAAGGAACAGTTTTGTAAAATCGTTTCAGAACACAGCATGTTGTTTGGGAAAAGCACTTTTTCTTGTGAGCTGGAGGCTGAAGAGCAGTGCTGGAGCCTGGATGCTGGCAGTGGTGTTGGTGGCTGCAGGGAAGCAGTTGTGGGGTGCCTGCATGTTGATTGTGGGACTGTCCTGCACAGGCACTGGGATTCCCTCATTTTAACCTCATAGCAGGACTAAGCAGCACATCCTTCATTTTAGAAGATTTAGCCTTTCTAAACTGTTAGCTTCTGCACAGCCATGTCTGATACTGACTGGTCCTGGAGAGTGGGTCAAAGGCGGGGCACCCCAGCTGGCTGCAGGGGAATGTGTGGCATCTTACTTAGAGAGGAAGAGCCATAAGGGGAGGTGGCCAGAGGCAGAGCTACTCTGCCATGTGTCTGCTGCCACTGTAGCCCATGGAACCGTTGTCACCACACCAAGCCACACTTGGGACTTCCACTCAGAAGAGATGGGCAACCAGTTTTAAGCTGCAGCTGGGAAAGGTGATTTCTGTTAAACAAATGAGCATTTATGGGTTGTCTGCCTGCAGAAGCCAAGTGTGTGACTCAGAAAATCACCTGAATAACAATGCTGCTAGCCAGGGAGAAGAAAAAAGGTGGAGAAATCCATAAAGCAATCATCATTCATGTCTCGCTTTCAGGCAGACTGCACCTTAGCAGCCTCTTCAATGTCTTTCATCCTCCATTAATTGCTTCTGCTTTACTTGACTCTGGGTTTTCTCCAGGAACCACTGTTAAAAGTTTGTATCTGGTGGATGTCAATGACATTGTCACTGGAGGGACTTTTCCTCACACTGTTGTTTGATTCCAGGTAATGCAGCGAGATACAAATGCCTTCAGTCTTCTCTTGTGTGCCCCAATTAAGGCCATAATTTACCTGCCCAGGTAGGCAAGGATGGTAAACATGGGGTGTGGTTTTACCATGCAGCTAATTAGATCCAATGACTAAGTGCTAGTCTGGGTTGTGTGTTTGCTCCTCCTGTCAGCAGCTTCATGCTCCTGCTCCAGCTGCAGATTCTGCTGCTTGATGGACTCTTGCTGATGCAATCCAGGACAATGACCCAGCAGAAACAGTTCACTTTTTTTTTCCCCTGGATTAATATTCTGCCAGTCTCATATCCTCTGATGGCTTGCCAAGGTAAGATGAGGATTCTTGCTGGCACAGGAAAGCATACAGGGTTGCTCAAGAGAAACAGAGTAATATAGAAGCATTACCTTAATTTGGTTGCTCAGCTGATTGGTTGTAAATCCACACCTTTGCTTCTTCCTATTTGGCTTGCACAGATCAACTATAACTGCCATTAAATGAGGAGACTTTTCTTACTCTTTTTCCATGACTAGCAAGATCTGTTCACAGGATTGTTATTCTCATTCTTTCAGATCACTTCAAAGACAAGAAGTGTTAATGGCAGCAATGGAAACTCAGTAGAGAAGGGAGGAAAGTAAGGGAAGCAGCAAGAAATGGGATAGGAAATGGGATACTGCTGTCATCTCTGACAGCAGTAGCACAACGTAGTTGTGAAATTATTTGCTTGGGTACTTGCAGCATCTGCAGGTGCTGCCTCTCAGCCAGCCAGGGCACAGCTGGAAGAAGGGATACTGCCATCCCTTTCTTCCTCAGGTGTGGCCTTAGGCTTGTACTCTCCTCCCTGTGCTTGGTTCCCCCCCAGTAGCTCCTTGCCTGCAGCTGCTGGGATAGTTTGGCCTTGAAACACTTCCACAGGGGCTCTGGGAGCTACACCTGAATGCATCAGCATGTCATTCCTGCATTCCTGCCTGGCCACTTCTCTGTTAACCCATTTCTTATCCAGAAAGGACACGTTGATGGATTGGAGGTGTGTGGAGACAGAATGCTAGATTATCACAGCACCATCACCTGTTGGTTATAACACTTTTATGGGCTCTTTGGGCAAACTTTCCCAGAGCTCAGTACTCTGAGGGAGTCCACATGCTGCAACCAGAGGAACTTGGCCTTCCTCAGCATCAGGGGAGTAGAGGACCAAGAAATAAGACAGCATGCTGAACTGTATAGAACCAACAGCTGTGCCACAGTGCAGCTACCCATGCAGGTAGAAACATGCTGCTTAATTACTATGATAATGTAAAAGTCTTTCCCTATTGTTTGTCTGGCTCCCATGGAACCACCCCTTATATGCAAAACAGGTTTGCTATTTAAATGTAAGCTTGTGTTTATATGCCAGCTGATAGCGTTTCCTGGGGATCCAAGGCAGCTGACATTGCTGCCAACATAAATAATTTTGCAGGTTGGACATTAGTTGATAAGAGTGTGGTGAGCCTCCCTTTTGTCTAATCCAATAGGAGTGCTTTTTGGTTCTGGTGGTTTTTGCCTTTTGACGTGACTTCCAGAAGACACAGAGTAAAAAAGGTATTTTTTTTCTTTTCCTTTTCCTTTTTATTTTTTTTTTTTCTTTTCATAACTGTGGACATTGCTAGGAATTAAAAAGGTAAATACAACATTTTGTAGGTTCAAGTAGGAATGCTGTTTGTGTATTCCTCCACCAAATATATTTTAAGAAAAATACTGCTGCTTCATGTAATTCTTCTCTCCTGCTCAGAAAACCTTCACTTTAAGGCACAGGAGCTACTGCCAAGCTGAGCCACAACAGTTTGAAAGCAGACCCTGATTGATTGTTTAGGAAAGCATGTACTGGGGTGATGGAAAATCCCCTTGTAAATGTGGTATGATGTTTTTACCACAAGAGAAACTTTCTGTTTCTAGTGTAGTTAAAAAGTTTAGTTCAATTGGCTGCTGGATTAAAGTAATTCCAATTTTGTGTCTTTTTCAGTTCTGAACATTTTAGTTTGTTTAAGGTTTATTGTTTGGCAGTTTTTGCTGATAATATCTTTCTGACTATACATTGAGGGTGATTTAGTAGACTAAATAAATGTGTGTTGCTTGGCTTGTTAAGAAATTCCATAGCCTAGATTTAGTGTAGGGACTGGTCTAAGGGCATAAGCAGGCTGGAGATGGAGTGCTCTGATGCTGGGCTTTGGCAGAAACAGGCACAGTCATGCTGCTGAGGAGGGAGGAAAACTTCCATGCAGGAGTGCACTGTGCAGCAATTACTCTAGAAGCAAACTGGGTCTTCTTTTCTTAGGCCTGTCCAACTGGAACGTGACTACTTCTGGGACCCCTCTATGCAATATCCCAAGAGAAATGTCTTATTTCCCTTTGAGTGAGACAAGGAGTGGGTTTTGGCATAGTGCTTGGTTGACTATACATTTGGAAAGCATTGTAAGTCCAGGTCTGATGCTGAGTAGAAAATGACCAGTCCTGGGTTCTTGTGCTTGCCTTGAAAAGCAGAATTTTAGTTGAGTTTTGCACTTGACTCTCTCTGGGTTTTTTGATTGTGTTTTTTCCCCAAACTCTCCCTTAATGAGTTGGATAATTTTTTTGGGACCTATCTGAAATCATTCAAGAACAAGCTACCTGCTCCAAAGAGCGTAGAGCTCTCTGACAGGGACCAAGGGATTGAGTTCAGCATATTACCTTATTTCTGTTGGTTTGTTTTAAAGACATGCTGTCATCTCAGCTTGGTTCAGATCATGTTCAGAACAGGTTTTTACAGAAGCTGAGGCCAGTGGAAATGTTATGCTTTTTACTCACTTTTCTTGGAGAGGATTAAAGCAAATAAACATGAAATGGCTCATCCTGCTCCAAGTCCATGTGAGCTGCCTTGAAGGACAAAAGTGGAAGGAGCAAGTACGCACTCCTGGTGTCTACCAGCACCTTTTCCTTTCTGCCACTTGGGCTTTTTCCAGGGACTAAATCCACCATAGATTCACTTGTTGACAACTGTTATTTCTTTTGACTCTTCTGGTGTGCTGGAAACAGTCTCTGCTTTGGAAATCATTACAGCTGTGTAACTTGCAAATGATGAGTAATGGCTTCCTCCAGTTTAACTCCCTCTTCTCTTATGTTTGCAGTGTGCTCATCTTTCCCTCTCTGCCCAGTCCTGCCCAGAGGTGAGGTACTGAATCTCAGTGCAGCAGCTTCCCTCGTGCCTTGGAGAGGAATTGCAGGTAAACAACAGCCTCCCTGAATGTGACACTTTGCAAGGATAAGCCTGGAAAATAAATTAAAGACTCCAATAAAAACCAAAACGCAGTAGGGGATATTGGCTTAATGGCTACATGATAAATCTCCCTTCTCCTCACTAGCACCTCTGTCATCCAGAAAGAGGTGACCAGCTATGTTCTTTTCTCTTAAGAATAAAATTACTACATCCAGTTCCCCTTTCTTACTCCTATATTTCAGGAAAGTACAGCTAACTCTCTCTCTAAGGTTGTTGATTTGATACTGCTCTGAGCAATTTTTGTCTTCATGTGTACAGCTCTCCAGTCTCTTGCTTCTGTTTCAGGCCTTTGTATTCCCAGAAGCTTATATTTTTTTCCAATTTAGCTCTTAATGTTTCAAAAGATACTGCTGTGATCTTTGTCTTGTCCATGTCCTTGGGGTGTGCTGGCTGCAACACTCTTTTCTTCCTTGCAGGCCAGCCAGTGCTATTTCAGTGAGGTTTAGGAACCAAGTAGCGTCATGGACACCCACATCCCCTGGCAATGTAGCCTTGGAAGGACTAGCATGTGTGAATTGAATTCCAGCAGTCCTGGAGTATGAGCATTGGAACACTCTTCATATGGCTGTCCAGTCAATGATTTGCCCATTTTGCTTCTTTTTTATTCAGAAGGGTCTAGTTGGTGGGCATGCCTTTGAATACAGGTTGGGGTCAAAAGAAAAATCAATTCCTTTCAGTTGGCTGGACAAGTAACTAAAGCAGCACTCTTTTGCTTTCTTTTAATATATATTATGAACTTAAAGCTTATTTAAAAATCCTGCATTTTTGATTCTGTGTGAAACTCACACTGTTATGACTCAATCTCTGCATGAGAAACCACAGGGAAGAACACAGAAAAAGCTAAATACTGACTTTGTGTGTTTAAAAAAGCATGGAAAAGTTTCTCTGCAGATGGATATATAGCATGTATATATGTGCATACAGCCACATAATACCTACACTGTGTGAAGGGAATGTATGTACAAAAGTATACACTCACTCACACTTATCTCTGTCTGGTCTCTGGATAGATGGAAATGTCACTTGATTCCAGTATTTTCCTTGATTATACTTGCTGTGTCCAGGAACCTCAGGCTTGTTTCTATGGCAGCTATTCCCAGTTCAGCTATTTCCTCAATCCCCATTTGGCAGTAAGTGGAAGATGTTGTGACACTCACAGTGAGCATGTCACAGGGGGGCTGAGAGTGTGGGCAGAGCTGTGTGCAGGTGACAAGCTCAGACAGGAGGGACTCGGGAGCAGCAGGCTGCAGCATGGCCTCCTGTGTCACCAGTCTCTTGGCTTTCCATCAAGGGCTTCATGGATCAGCCCAGATTTCTCTCTCTCTCTCCTTCTTTTTTTTTCTTTTTTTTTTTTTTTTCCCTTCCCTGTTGCCCTGCTCTGAAGCAGGACTGCAAGATCAGGATGGCATTATGAGCAGAACACTAGGGAACCTGTGCTGCTCTAGACAGGCTGACTAATCTCCCTTTAAATAATCTCCCTTTAAATAGTCTGGAAGCACACTGGTGAGTTTCTCTTTCAGGAGCCATAAATAGCCAGATCCATGCTGGTAAGTAGCAAACAGCACAGTTATTTGTTCTAGGAAGGTCTTCCTATTTCCTTCATGTTATTGCACGGATAGCTGTGATCTAGTTCTGGTAACACCCTGTATGGTAGCAGTGCTTCTGCCTTTCTTCACACTGCTGTATCTTCTGTGACAGTGAGGAGGGAGCAGCTGCTCCTGGGAGATTGATCCAACGGCACTGGAAAGGGAAGTCAGAGTGGCGGTGGAGCTGTGGCTTGCTGTGGACTGTACAGCTGGCTTTAGCTAGAGCAGTGCAGTTCAGACCCTTCTGAGAAGTGCTGTGAGTTCAAAAATCTCACTGATATTTATAGCACCTGGAAGGTGAAAGCAAGGAATATTTGAACACTTGCTGCCTAGCTATGGATCTGGACAGATTGGAATATATGGTCTTGTGAGCTACCTCATCTTGTGCTTCAGACTTGTCTGGAGGATAAACTCAGTTTGTCTGTGTTTTCCTAACTCAGAAATAAACACTGTGAAAAAAAAATAAAATTGACCAAGTCTGTGTCAGTTAGGCTGGCTAATATAGTCTTCTTAAAGACGGAAGAATTCAAACTATTCTTCAGGTAGCTACAAGCACTCTGCATCTGCCTCCATATCTGGTCCTGAATTATCAAGGCAGCCTTCAAGAACATCAGGAGCTCATCCATGTCCAGTAGCTGCTATAGCACTTATCAACATTTAGGTAAATAGGAGAATCCTCAACAAAGAGGGCAGCAAGTCTTGCCTCAGTGAGGTAGGAGGCATTTGAATTTCTTACTCATAGTGTATTGTCATCTTCTTCCTGCCATCCTACCCACTCAATGCGTCAGAGATCTAAGGCTTGATTTTTTAATATTTATTTTTCTTTTTTTTTCTTCTCCGCCTTCTCTGCTGAGCAGGGAATATCCAAGCCTTCAGTTTCTGGTGCATCATGTGAGAATTTTATTTTTTTCCATTTATATTATTTCTTCTTTCTCATTTTTTCCCCCCATCTGTTGAGACACTATTCCCTTAATATACTGGCTTTTTTACTGGGGTGAGTTGGCTCACTGGTGCAAGAGGACAGACGGCCAAGCAGGTCTGAGGAGGGGAAGAGAAGATATGTGGGGGCATAGCACAGACTAGTTACACAGAGGCATTGTCCCTCATATTTGCTTTCCTTCATAACATTGCTATTAAATCATTGTAAAGAGGACAAGGTTTCTGCCTGGTCACATCCCAGTGATGTGACACCATTCACTGTTTTTTGATCTTATGGAAGGAGGGGTGTTCTTTTCCTTTCCTTATTCATGCTCAGTGCTTGCCATCCTCAAACTGGGACACACCTGGGGCCAGGGATTGGCTCAGTGTGTCATTTATATGGGATTTTAAGCTCATATTTGGCAAAGCGGAAGTACTGTGCAACCTCAACAGAGAAATGAATGGTCTTCTGAGGAAAACTACTACAATGTCTTATTATTAACAGTCTTCTGAATTAGGGTATACAAAAACAAACAAAAAAAAAAAAACAACCCAGCCTGTGCATTTAATTAAAAAGACAAAACAAAGCACAGCTTTTTAATTAACTGTATTTGGTGTACTTACGTTGCAACGCTCCAGTCAGATCAACCAGGCTTTTCCTGGGGTAGGTTTGGCCTGAGTTCCAGCTACTATGCTATGCATAGGTTCTCTTTGGAAAAGCAGAAGGAGAATACAAAGCTGAAAATAGCTGAAAGTATATTTCAATTCCCGACAGGTCCCACTGAGCAGAGAGAGCAAAAAGCAGTGGAATCTGCCCCATGACACTTTGCTGGGTCAAAATGCAGTGTGCTTTGTCTTCTTCCCCCTAGCACAATGGCTGCGTTCCCTGTCCTGGGGCAAGAAACATTATTCCGGAATGGTACCTGGAGCTATCGAATTCCAGCCCTGCTCTACCTGCCGCGGTTCAGCATGATCCTGGCCTTTGCTGAGGAACGAGAGGACCTGGTGGATGAACATGCCAAGCTGATTGTCATGCGCAGAGGCGTGTATGACCCAGCCACGCAGCACGTTCAGGTACCAGTGCAGGGAGGAAGCGGGGGACACTGCCCCCTGTTCTGCCCACCTGCCCTCAGTGAATGGAATGTATTTGCCCTCTTGCTGTAGGGACAGGGCAGCTTCTCCTCCCCAGGTACAGGAGACAAATCTGCCTAGAAATAATGCACGTCTCGTTACAACTGCTGGGATTCAACCCTATGGGCAGCTGTTGGGGGGACTAAAATAGAGTAGATATTCTAGAGGTGGCTTTGACCCATCATTGCAGAGCTGGGGATGCAGATACAGAGATGGACAAAAGTCCTGTTGTAGCAGGAAAAATGCGGTGGAGAGGCAGAAGTGCCTCAAGGAAGACAAAGAAATACCACAGCAATGGGGAGGAGTGAATTAGCGACCAGTGACTATTCTTTTTTTTTTAATTCATCATTTTAGGAGTAATTTCTAGTTTAAAAAACAATTGAGAATAGTTAGTCTCTCCATGCAAAAAAAAAAAAAAAGTGTCTGCTTTGCTGGTGCCAGTGAATTGGCTACCTTATTGACCTACCAGTTATTATTAACAGTTATGCTGCCGGGTGGCTGGGGGTGGTGGAAACTCTATTTATAATATTTTTTTTCATATGCAAAGGCATAAATGTCTTGGGAGAAAAAAAAGTAATTATATTTTTCTATTCCAAACCTTCGTTGGTTGTCTTAGATTATAGGCTCTTAAGAGCTGGAGTCTGCCTAGCAGAAGCAGCCTCTGAGCCCACCTGCAGTGTCATACCATTCAGGTAACATCTTGTGTGACTCCCTGTAATTCAGTTAGTGGGGTTCAGTTGGTCATAAACTTAGTAATTTGTGTTCACATGCTAGAGTGTCTTAAAATGGAAATACAAAATTTTCAATAAACGTTAATATTAGTTGGATAGAAAAAGATAAGATATGAACAAAAAGGCTAATCAGCAAATCAGGGCAGAAAAGCTAATTAATATAATCTTACTGAAAACTACTGCTTTGCTTACCAAGCCAATAACACTATGTAGTCATAGTTTTCTAATGGCAATGCTAGTGTTAGAAACACGATTGCGTTATGTGCTATTCATTTGAAGAAAACAGGGCTTGCTGGGTAGTTATACCAGCTCTGCGACCTATTTTCTAAGTCAGACAGCTCAGAGTCCAAATCTCCACACCAGAGTCACTAATCAACCCTAGCAGGTTGCCTCATTTTAGGCTGGGTTGTTTGTTCACATGCATTCACATCAAAGTGGAGGAACAGGAGCCCGAATGAACAGGGATTTGTCATCATCCAGGATGCTTGAAAAGGGTTTGGGTTTCTCTGTGACTTCCTAAAAAACACTGACACAGCACAGTGTCTGTACTAGCACACTTTGACCACCGGGAATGTCTGTGTGCCATATATATATTTGTGAGGATTTCTAAAAATTCAGCCACTGTAGCTTTTGTAAGGGTGTCATCAGCCACCAGCTGCATTGAGATATGGAGCTATCAGTTCCTCAGGGAGTAGTAATTGAAAAGGACATAACCCACGTGCTTGGTGAAATGAACATGCTTCACGTCATCAAAATAATTTTCACTTGCCTTTGGTCATGCCAGACTATTGTCTTCCCATTTCTTGCTCTATCCGTTTCCCTTCCTCTGTTCTTCCCATGCTCTTCTGTAGCTTTTATCCAGACATCCTTGCACTATAATGTGGGTCTCTTTGTAACAGTGTATTCCATTCTTGTCTCCCTTCCCACGGGCTGTGGCAGTGGAAAAGGATGGAGACCCTTGTCAGTGCACAGCTGGAAGGCCACCGATCTATGAACCCCTGCCCGGTATATGATGAAGTCTCGGGGAAACTCATCTTGTTCTTCATAGCTGTCCCAGGAAAGATCTCTGAGCAGCATCAGCTGAAGACAAAGATCAACCTGGTACGTCTCTGCTATGTCACTAGCATGGACCAAGGGCGCACCTGGAGTGCTGCCCAGGATGTCACCGACAGGACCATTAGGAATGAGTACAAGAACTGGGCCACATTTGCGGTGGGGCCAGGTCATGGATTACAATTGCTCAATGAGGCTCGGAGCCTTGTGATCCCTGCCTATGCCTATCGTATCTTGGATCCCAAGCAACACCCCACCCCTCATGCCTTCTGCTTCATCAGCTCTGACCATGGGACAACATGGGAGAAGGGGAACTTCGTGGGGGAGGAGAGTGCAGTGGAGTGCCAGGTAGCAGAGGTGCATACCTGTGGCAGAAAGGTCCTTTATTGCAATGCAAGGAGCAACAGGGGAGCCAGGATCCAGGCTGTCAGCTACAACCACGGGCTGGACTTTGAGGGAGGCCAGCGGGTTGAAATGCTAATAGAACCTCCCTCGGGATGCCATGGAAGTGTTACTGCCTTTCCACCTCCCCCGGATGCCAGATGTCAAGACAGTTGGTTACTGTATGTTCATCCTACAGACCCAAGGGGTCGAAAAGATTTAGGAATTTACCTCAACAAAAGCCCTTTAAATCCAGCACACTGGACAAAACCCAGCATACTCTTCAAGGGCCTGTGTGCTTATTCAGATCTGCAGTACATGGGTGTTGGGCCCGATGGCTCACCTTTGTTCTCCTGCCTCTTTGAATATGGGACCCACAGACAATGTGAAGAGATTATTTTTGTCATGTTCACTTTGAAGCAAGCCTTTCCCTCAGAACACTGAGTCTCAAACCTTTCCATCAGCATCCCTCCAAAAACCATCTTTGCTGATGCTTTTTACTGTCATTTCTCATCCCTCAGCAAACGGGCTTTTTTGTTCCTGCTGAACACATAGTTTGGTGTTGGCTTGTTGTGTCTGTAGATTGTGAAGTCCATTAAACATACCACAACTTAACACATTTGGTTTTGTTTTCTGTTGCCTTTTTGCCTTTCTCTTTGGCTGCTTTTTTACACATCACATGCCCAAAACAAGTGTGACCTTTGTATAGGGCTTCTCATCTTGAGGTCTCTGACAGACTTCATCAGGGACACATGTGCTGACAGCATAGGGACTGCAAAGGAACAAATGGCAGCAGGGTTATTCTGGGTGGTATTTTGTAAGTTGTGGAGAAGCTCCTAGAGAGGGCACTGGCCTTACTACCCTATATCTGCTGTCATCTTCAGGAAGCTGCTTTGGCTCTGGTAAGGAGCACTGCTTCTTGCAGCCAGTGTAGGAATGCAGGCACCTGTAATTTCCAGGGCTTTCTTGTCTCCTTATTTCAGCAAGGCCATGTGATCACTTGCTCTTGGGATAGTCCATGCCAACTTCTTCAACTTTGGGGCTGCCTTGTTGAGTTCCCAGGCACCCCAGAGGCTTTTGCCTAACTTAACCTTCTCCTTACTTCCCATGCTGTGTTTTCTTGCTTACTCGCCCTTTTGCTTACACTGCATTGAGAAGATGCAGTTTCCCATGTGTAAGAAAACCATAGCCTTGTGTGCTCTGGCTGCTCCCTCTCCCTGGGCAGTGTTAGTAAGAGTCAATAAGGACATCAGGACCCTTCCATGTTGGGGGACAGAGCAAGTGGCAAAGATGGCATTTTACCTGTATGGAAACTGCAGGATCAGGACAGGTCTGCAGAGGGAGCTCCCAATTTAGAGTCAGGAGGGGAAGTGCTTGCTGGTCTTTCTAACACAACTGCCAAGCTATGATCCACATAGCAACTACTCTTATTGTTGACAACCCCATGTCTTGTTATTACAGAGTATTATTGGCATATGAGGCACGATGTCAAACAAATAACATTGCCCCACTTTCAGCAAAAAAACACCAGTGTCATCAGAGGAAGGAGAACTGACCAAGGCCAGGGTAACATAAAACACTCAAGCTGGGAGGCTTTCCAATGTAGACAAATTTTCAGCAGATTTCTGAATGAAACAGCTCTACTTTTGGTGAGAGAGACCTATTCTAGTACTATACAGTGTGTTTTGAAAGGAGGCTTTATACAATGCCTAGACAAGGGACTGACCAGAAACAAATGGCTACCATGTGAGACACATCAGAGTAGATGGAGCTAGGAAGGTGTTGCCCATGCCTCTGGACAAAATTCTGCAGATGAACCAGTCTGTGCTTGTTTCCTGTGTGTTGTATCCTGCGTGTGTGCACGTGTTCAATGACTGCAAGGAAAATGTTTGTTTGCCCTCTTGGTGAAGAAAACCTCCTGCTTTTCAGAGGTCTGTCAGAACACATCCCCTTTGGTGAGCACTACCAAGTCCCATAGGATCCTTGGCAGTGTCACTGCTCATGTCCGTGAGTGTCTGCTTGAACAGTGCTCCTACCCTTGCCTTTTACTACTGACAGCTTTCATGGGTGTTGGGAAAAGAGGCCCTGACTTTCCTCACTATGGAGATTTGTTTCAGGGCACCTGGATGCTGCAGATACCAAGGGAGTGAAGGGATCTCGTGACCTTCACAGATACACTGGTAACTTGTCAAGCTTTTCCCAAGCAGCAGGTCAGTAACATGCTGGGCTGAAGTAGCAGAGTGGCTCAGGTAGCCAGTACTTTTTGGGTATTACTCATATGGTCTTTAGATGTAGGCCAGTATCTAAATAACCTTTGTGGCCAACAGCCTGTCACTGATGTCTAATTAGGGAATGGTATATTTAGATTTCTGCAAAGCTAACTGTGGCCCTATAGACTTAACCTCCTCATCAGGTACTATGGAATACTTTAGTTTTGTGATATGGAAATGCATATTTAAGTTTCTATCTGGCCAAACCTGGCAGTTCCCATGCTGATGCAGTGCACAAGCTGAATATAAGTGGAGAGGAGGGGTTGGGTGACCACTGTACATCTTGAATGATGCCACAGACAGTATTTATTTACTGGTTCTGGAGTCTGGTGCATGGACACTATCTGGCAGAGTACTACCTGGACATCTATAGCAAAACTAGTTCAGATAAAGAGTCTATAATAGTGTTTTGAAGATAAGATATTATTCCAAGCTAACAAGCCATTAGGGATCACAGAGCTGTTTATATTAGGGGATTGGGATTTACCTTTTGAGCTGCTGAAGCTGTACTGTGCTTTCTTTTAGGACCAAGAAATACTCACAGAAACCAGCCTGCACATTCAATTGTCATAATCATCATTTGTACTTGGATCCCTTTCCCTTGTTTTTGACTCCAAGTCAAGGACTAGTGTGTGCCTGGACATGGGATGTGAAGGAAATAGCAGCAGATTGCTAAAAATCTATGTTGGTGGTGGGGTGGATAGGAGCTAAGTATGCAGCTGATTAGTCTCAGATATCTAAAGAGGGCTTTTACCTGTCACCTGGTGTTAGTTTGCAGAAGATCAGGAGAAGCTCTCCAAACAGTTTCATTCTATCAAAATTGATGTTGTGAGCAGCTCTGTCCACTCTGCACCCAGATACATGTCTGTTGCATGGAGAGCACTGTGAGGTCAAGCAGTGGTTGACATTCAGAGCTGTTCTGCTTCCTGCTGCAGCTGTGCTCCAGAGAAGCTACTGGAGGTACCAGAAATCCCAAGGATTTGGTGCAGGTGAGGTTAACAGTGCACTGTGGCCAGGCAGGGCTGTCAAAGCATCTGCATGGTGCCTTTGTCATATGCAGACTCTCATTTTGGTTGGGAGAATAGTGTTTGTAACCACTCTGTAGCTTACAGCTACTGGCAGAGCCACTTCATGGCCTTCTGTGTCTGACTCCATTTAGGCACCCGAATCCATAGGAGTTTGTCTGCTAAGGGCCTGTGTGGATGTTGTTGGAGCTGAAGGCCAGGTTCAGCTGAGCTAATTTTCATGTGCAGACAGTGCTTGCTCAGCATGGACAGGAAGCCCTGCACGGTGCAGTTCTGCTCATCTAGCAGGGCCCTGTCCTGGCCACACAGCTTTGGGCTGCTGCTACCCACAGTTTCATCTTGCTGCAGAGGTTAAGGACACTGCAGACCAAGCCTCTGCATAGCTGAAAGCAGCGAGAATGCTTACAGGGATGGATGCTGGGTTGTGCTGGTTCACTCTCCCTCTCCACACCCACACATTCTAGCCTCCCTGTGTGCACTGACAGTCTGTTCTCTCCTGCCTTGCTGTCCGTGCAGTGTACAGCATTGCACTTCATGCATGGTCCAGGTACTGCGGTTCCAGCACTTCTCCTGGGTCTGGGAACCAAGGGTTGCATAGGGCTGACAGGGTCTGCACCTTTCCTCTGCCTCTGAACTTTGAGTCCCAGCTCAGCTGCTGCTTTCAGGTATAGCTCAAATGTGGATGTGCAGAGGGCAGAGTGGTTGGAGGTACAGGATAGACAACCAAGATTGTCATGCAGGCAGTGCCCCTGTAGGAATGTTCTGGCATTGCTGCAAATATGTCTTGGAGATGCAGCACTAAGCATGCCACACAGCATAACTGAGGGACAGATGTACACACAAAGAAAAGGGAAGTGAAAGCTCCAGTTCTCCCCTCTCTGACGCAGGTTGCAGACACCGCTTTGCTCTATCCCACCTTTGGGGATTTAGAGTAGGAAAGATCTTTGAATCCATCTCACAGTAGCTGACAGGGAGCTTTGACAGGGATTTTTTTCAAAAATCCCTGGCACAAATCAGCCTTTCATCTGCTTCCATGCATGGAGACATGCAGTAGTTATTTTATTTTTTCAATTCTTTGAAGTTCCCTCCTCCTCACACCTAGTTAGATAGGACTATCAAGGCAGGAATGGGGCAGTCAATGCTATGTATCCTAATGCACAATGTGCTTCTGATCAGAGATTTTTTTATTCCCCATGGAGACCTGTAGTGGGTAGGACAGAGAGACAGGAAAAAGATGAAAACTCAAAGGATCTGGCAGGAGGTGATAAATTGGACGGCAGGCCACCAAAGCCTGGGGGACTGAATCTGTGAGGGAGCAGAAGAGATCACCAGCTGGGACTTTTGGACACAAAGCAGGAGGGAAAGGCAGGGAACGTGGGCTTGCTAGTCTCTTCAGCGGCAGCATGAAGAGGGAGAGTGGGGGCTGCAGGGATATGTCACACTCGCTCTCTGAGCTGTTTGAGTTGAGGAAGTTGTCCGTGGCTGAGTTTCCTTTCCCTCTCTGTGCTATTGAAACAGGAAGCTGGTGAGCCGAAGCTGGCTGATCGTTACACACAGACACACAGGCAGCTCTGGCAGCTCCTGTGTTGGCATTCAGGTTTCCTCCAGCTCCAGCAATGGATCAGTGCTGGTACCACGGCAACATCACTCGCTCTAGAGCTGAAGACCTGCTCTCCAAAGTAGGCAAGGACGGCAGCTTCCTTGTGCGGGCCAGTGAGTCAATTGCTTCAGCATATGCACTCTGCGTGCTGTAAGTACAGCGTTCACCGCGCCCTCAGCCCACACTGCTATCCCTGCTGGGCAGGGGTCACTCCTGCCTCCTCCCCAGCACAGAGGCAAACGGGTGCTGTACTCACTGGGAACGTGCAGCCCTCCTCAGAGCACCGCTGGTTTCACCAGACTGGGCCATGGGGTGGGGAAGGGTTAGGAGCCAGGCTGAATAAACCCATAGTTTATGTACTGCTGTACTGCTCATGCTGCTCTTGCCCCTGATGCAAAAGGAGAGAATGGTCAAAGGCACTGCTGCTGTGCTCTGAGAGAAAATAACCTCTTGAGCTTCTGGAGTGTCTTAACAACTTGGGTCAAATATTTATATTTAGTGACCCCAGTCCCGAGCCTGGGACCTCCTAGGCACTTTTCTTGCTCTGGTTCAGTGTGTGTTTGAGCTCCCTGCTTGTACTGTGTTGCATTCAGCAAAAGGCTTGAAATAGTTCCTGGAGCTGTGCATGGTATACCCAGCACAGCAGTGATTCCACCTGCATCATTAATGTGGCTCATGGGGTAAACGTTTCATGTGGGGAATAGGGAGAGAAGTGCTGGCAGCCCTGATCCCCTCAGATGGGTTAGGTCAGGAACCAGAGAGCAAGGCCTCCTGCCCTGGGTTTGTGACAGGCAGGTTTTTTTCCTGGAGGCAGGAGAGCAGGGGTGAGAGGAGACTGAAATCAATAGGTAAAATCTGAGACATTTAACTGTCTTACAGAGAGATCAGAGAGTTGTTCCTTGCTTAGGAGAGATCAAGAGAGCCCTTGTGGGACCCTATCAGATTCTCTTTGCTGCCATTTTGCAGCAGATCGATGAAATGAATTGAATCTTTACCCCACATTACATTACAAACATTACAAGCAGGTTTCTCATTTTCTGTCTGAAAATATATTTCTTGTAGTGGTGAAGGTGGTGCTGCTGTTTATAACTCTGGGCTAACTGCTTGTCTCTGAGGTCAGATTCTGGTGACAGCACTGTCGGCTGTGAGTGCCATGGGGCTGGGTAACTGCCCCGTGGGTGTAGGTGTTGGACTGCCAGGGAGTGGTGGCTGGGGAGTGGGCGTCTTCACACGGCGCAGAGAGCCTCTGTGCCTGCCTGTTAAGATGCTTGAAACAACACAGGGAAGAGTTTTGTCTTTCTGGAGGGAGCAGAGAAAAAAGGGCAGCTGCAGATGAATATCCAGTACTAGCAGGAAGGAGGAGAGAAAAATCCTGTAACAGGGGCTAAGGACCCGAGTGGTAAAGTCAGGGAACAATTTACTAGAACAGACTGTTGCTTCTATTGAGTGATTTTAGTATTACACCATTGATTCGACTTGTAACCAGTATGTACACAAAATATTTTCACCAAGTGATGGTGAGGATTATAGAAAGGGAAGGTGCTGCAAAAAGGCCTACTAACACGCATTTGCATAAGTTTTTCCATTGTAAATGTTTATGCAGCCAGCTTTGAAAGCCTTTTGTGACTTGAGAGACATGGGATCAGGAAACAGAAACAATATAATGACCATGATTTTCTGAACCGGGAGCCAAAGGTTATATTCTTAAATCCATTCTGAGGTAGCTAATACGAGCGGCTTGATTAAAGAATTGGGGAGCACCCAGCCTTGCCAGCCAAGAGCAGCTGGATCAGAGGTGTGAAGGGCTGGCATTAATTACAGTCTGGGAAACATCACACAGACTGCTGTCAAACGATCTGACATAAGCTTTCAGCTTATGCTGGCTTGCAGTTAGTTTGTGGAGAGGTGGTGAATAAGTCTTTCCCTCTGAATGTCATCTCCACAAAATGGGCACCTCTGCTGAAGCTGAAAACTTCCTCAGAGATGTATCAGTTTCAGCTGTGCGATTAACTGGGAGCTGTTTGAAGTGTGAGCTCTTCAGTTACTTCTGTTTAAAAAATAGAGAGGCTGAAGACAAAGAATGAGAGAGTGGGGAATTGAAAGGCTGACTGCAAATTGTTTCCACAAAAGAGAATTATGTTGAAAAAGAGCAGGTGTCAACCACGTATACATAAGGAAAACGAAAAAACATGAAATTTGCTCTGAAAAAGAAATGTCATATTCTACAAAGCTCTAATATTTACTGGGCAGATCAATCAAGATCCAGCAAAAGCATTTGTTATTATAATATAATAGAATGAAATAATGATTTCATTGAAGAGCTGCTTTAGAAAAACAGGGTTTGTATAAATATAGACAAGTAGGGGAGGTGTATTTGGAGAGCCTTTAAAGAGTGCCTTGCCTCTTAAAGCAAGAAAGCATTTCTGAAACTTAAAGCAGCAGCATTTAGAGAGTGAAAGGCTGGGGAATGCTCCTCCCCCTGCACAGATGTCCCCTGCTCTGGTCACACTGCCCCATAAAAGGCAAGAAACAAAGCCCTTTTCCTCCTCCTTGCTCTGTGCCTAAATAATTTGATCTGTCAGTTTATTGACAAGAAATGGGGTCTTTTACTCACCTGGAGGGTAATTCCTGAATCCTGAAATCCAAAAGAGCCTGCTTAGTGTTCCCTGCACCTAAACTGGTGCCATTCCTCCAGAGGATCTTCTGTTGGCAGTTCATCCAGGAATGGCTGCAGGACTAACAACACGTCTAGAGGTGACATTCAAGGACCAGCTGCAGCTTTGGGACCCCTCTAAGAGGACTCTGCCTGTGAGATGTCCTTTCCAGTGCCATGCCTCTCTCACGGTACACTTGGCACATGGCACCAGGCCTAGCACAGCAGCCCTGTTCGGTGCTCCAGACACTCCCAATATGCACATCATCAACTGTGCATAAAAACATACAGCAGGAGAGGAAGGAGAAAATGCCTGCTGTGTCACACTGTTACCTCCTCTGGTTGATTGAGAGGACAGGGAGATGACAAGTACTTGGAGACTTGTTTAAGCTGAGGCTGATGTTTTATTTACCCTCCACATGGACGGCCTGAACAATGGCTGAACAATTCTGAACTCAACCCAGCTTTTAGGGAGGACCTAGAATGTGGTGGCCGCTGGGCCCACATAACTTGACAGTCAGGATGCCAAGGAGAGGAAGCCTAAGGGTAAAAATGGAGTAAGAATCCCGGTCTTCTCCATCCACATGCACAAAATTAGGGGACTGGCAATGAGGATTCCTCCTTTGATCCTAGGAGTGTTCCTCCCTTCTCCTGTCTTACCCAACCACCCTTCTTTCATTGTTCTTATATTGATCTTACTGGTCTTCATCCTAAACCTCTTTGCAAGCATTATGAGAGCAGCCTTGAACGGTCTGTGTGATTGGCCACTTTCTGTGAAGGGCACATGAGAGTCCTCTTGTGAGGACTTGTGAGCAAGAACCATTGGGCTGCTTAATTTATCAGTTTCATAATCTCCACACCCACAAATTGTCTCTGCTGCATGAATAATTCTGCTTAGCTCTATTTGAATATCAGCAGGAGTAAATGGTTTAAGAGAGCTGCATTGACACATAAAAACAAGCCCTGTACCCTTCCTTGGCTCATATCCTCACCTGGTACTGATTGCCCTGGTATTGGTAGAATTAGCAGTGCTGTAGCTGTCCTACAGTTGAGGATCATGTCTGTGACTTCCAGCTCTGTACCAGATGTGTGAATAAATAGGTGCCTGTGAAATGAGCTCTAGAAACAGCTTGAATTTTTCTGTGTCCTTTCCATTAACGCTATCAAAAGACACACGTTCATGTGGATACATGTCCCAGTCCTCCAGACATCCTGGAAAAAACTCAGCTATGATCTACAAGGAATTTATTTTAATTTCCCATGTCTCTTTGTGATTCCTTGTATAAGGCTGCCTGAAATCCTGGCAGTCTCCTCTCTCCTGTGTGGAATGATTCTGAAAGGCATATGATGAATAGACTCACATCACAGTTGTAAGAGAGATTAGGATGTTTACTGATTTGCCTGATCTCCCCAGCCGGGGGGATGACCTCAACCCACATTTTGTGACAATTCCACAGATACTGCAGTGTTTCTGTTACAACCAAGAAAGATCTGAGTGTGGATTCTCTTCTTTCTTTTGAGAAGGAAGGGGTTTAACCTGCACCTTTTGGTGGCTCAAAGCGATATTGGATCTTTTAAGTGCTTTGCAGATAACTTAAAAGATTTGATCAATCTTTTGTTGTGAGAAAGGTAAAAATATATTTTCTAGTCAATACTTCTTGGGTGAACTGCACAAAGCTCAGCAACTGCTGAGGGAGGTCAAGCTTACAGTGCTGTTCAGGCTTCCCTTGGGCTCCCGTGCATTGATGTGACCCTTCACTAAACACAAGACTCCTCCATCCCCTTTAAATAAGAATCTAATTGATTTAGCTGGGACAAAGTATTTGTTGTAGGTGCCCTACAGATGCACATGTACAGTGTGCATGCACACCAGGATGGTAAGATGGCTTTTCATTTAAACTGTTGTCTAGGATTTGTGGATAAAAATGTGCCTGGCAATCAGCTGTTGTACTGTGATTTAGCTGAAATATATTATTTGCTTTTTCCAATACAAGTCAATGCACTAGCCCTTCAGTTTACTCATTTATTGCTGATTTTGGCCCTTTGCCTTTTGGATTTCTGCTTTTTCATTTTTTCCTGAGATGTCTGCTCTACTGACAGCTAGAGCCACTTGGTGTTTTCTCTCTTTCCGGCCAGAAGAAGAGTGGAATAACTCCCTCTGAGCTAATGCTGATATCACTTTCTGCAGTGACATCTGCAAGCAGATGTTCCTGTTTCAGTGACCAGGAACACTTCAGGTTTGTGTTAGTCCGCAGGCTCCAGGAAAAGAAAGTAAGAAAGAGAAATGGTTTAAAACCCTTGTGCATGAAGCAATCTATATGGCTCAGGTTTTCCAATGTCTTTTCTCACAGGGAGGGATGCCATAGTGAGATTCCCTTCTGGACATGGTCTAACCTTATCACCTGTGGTCTGTTCCAGGTACCGGAATTGTGTTTATACCTACCGAATTCTGCCCGATAAAGAAAATAAACTAATTGTCCAGGTAAGCCATTTCTGTATTTGGTCCCACAAAAATGTATTTGAGAACTGCTGGTTTTCAAAGTAATTCTAACATCAACAGAAAAAAAAAAAAAAGATATAAGGAATTAAACTAATGTCAGACTAGCACAGTGCTGGTCTCCATTCCACTGCTGTGGAGATTTCAGTTTTCAGTCCAGTCCATAGCTGTGGCCATCGGCACACTCTTTAACACACATGCCTTCAATTCCTAGTGGCACAGCCATGTTTTATGTAACTGAGAAGCTCAGCATGTGGAATAAATTTTCCTCTGAAGCCAACTTCTTGTCAATATGTCATGTATCTTTTCAATCCAAAATTGCAGCACAGTTGCCTACACCCAGAGAATGTAAATTGCATTCTGGTCTCAGGATCCAGAAAGTACCAAGACTGAGGGCAGGAATTTCCGATGTTCTGTTTATTCCTATTTTGATTTAGGAGCCTAAATGAGCCACTTCCCCTTCCGGTGCCACTTCCCCTTCCGGTGCCACCTCTCAGCCCCTTTTTAAAAATATAAATCATGAAACTTGGGGTGGGGAGGGAGGCATGTTCTCCTACAGCCCCAAGAATTGGGCATGGGTTTACTGAGCAACAGTGGGGGCTGTAGCTGACCCATGTTCTTGGCACAGTCAGCGCTGCATGGGCATTCCCTGCTAAAGAGAATGGAAATGCCCAGGCTACCCAGTCTGCCTCGTTATTCAGAGCGGTTCTGCAATAATTCCTTCCCATTTCAGTTGACAACTAGCTTCCCACACTATAAATCGGATTTCTACCAACTTCACGAGCAGCTTATATGTCTCTCATGCATCATGTTAGTTGTGTATTTCCTCATGTGCTTTGGGGTTATCAGTGTTTCTTTGAAATCTCCACTAAGAGGCAGCATATCTGAAACTAGAGTCATGAGTTAGTGAGAACAGCTGCATGCTGGCAGCTTGCTTTCAGCTGTGGGCTTTTGGTAAATTGTGTGTCCTGGGTGCACACATCCAGCTTGGCTCCTTCAAGAACTACTTTTAGGTATCTTGGGCTGTTCTCAGGAGCCCCACTCAGATGCAGCTCTGCACAGACACAGCTGTACAGGCTCCAAGGCTAACTCCAGGCTCTTGGTGCTGTGCTCCAGAGGACTGTGTGCCCAGGGACAGCCACTATGGCCCTGTTGGCCTTGACAGCTGGATTCCCCAGAGCCATTGAGATTCCTCTGCCTCACTTGCACTTCTGTTTCCGAGGAGGAACTGGCAGTGGGAGTCTATACTGGACATGACCTGGGTCTATAGTGTTACTATGGCATGTCACCAGAGTTCATCCCTCTTCATGGAGCACTGGGTGACACTGTGCAGGCTCAGCTGGGTGCAAGCCTGGGACCAACACCCAGCTGGAACCAATAACTTGCCATTCCCACCTGGCTCCTCACACTGTGCTGTAGGCTCTTTGTAGTGATACTTGATATTCCCCCATCTTGTAATATATCCCAGCCATTCTGTCCTAAAGAGTGTGTTTTGGTGCATTGTGCTAATGTGATGTGGTGGGTAAGAGACCAGAAGGTGATATGGTGTTTATCTTTGACAGTACTTGGAGCAGCTGCAGAGATCTGGGTCTCTCTGTGCCAGAAAGCTCACAGATGGAGCCCCAGAGGAAGGGAGAGTGTTGGGGGACACCTGAGGCCCAGACAATGGCCACAATTATCTATGTCCCACACCAGCTCTGTGGCATGGCTGGCATGGGACTCTGGCACTGCTAATGCTGTCCTTGCTCTTTGCACTGGCAGCAGTATGATGACGGGAAACTTGTGCAACCCTAATTCTGAATAACTTTGTGGTATGAGCTTGATGGCTGCTTTGTCTTTTGGAAAATAAGCTCAGAAATGATCCTATGCTGGGTTTTCCCATGTGGGAGAGGAAGAAAGGCAGGCCAGAAGGTATCTGCAAAGGCAGCCACACAGCCCCGCACTTTGTCCCTCTGTGCCCTGGGCAAGCTGTTTCCTCTCCTGGTCCCTCAGCTGCCCTGCTGGCAGATCATGTGAGAAATGCTGGACATGCAGCTTGGCCTGGAGCCTGTTCTAGCAGGACACAGATGCCATGAGTGACAGGAGAGTTTGAAATCTGAGCAGAGAGCAATGTACCTGTGTGCAGCTACTCTCTGCAGAGCTCTGGGGTCTCTGAACACAGCACCTGCCAGTGAAGGTCTGTGCAAGGAGTTCTGTGCATTACAACCCAGGAAGATGCGAGTCGCGGTTCCCAATTTGTACTGGATCCATGATTGTTTCTGTGGTGACAAAGAGCCTGTTTTCATGTACAACTCTTATCTGCAGAGCTGTACATGTACAGTGCTCAAAACACTGCAGCCATAAGAAATCTTTGTTTCTCTGTGCTGTAGCAATGAGTAGCTCTCCTGCTGGGTCAAGGTTTATGAACAAGAAATTTGTGAGATTCTCTTGGGTCCCATGTTGTGGTTGCAAGGGATTTCTCTTGTTCCTATGTCAAGGAATTCAGAGTGACTGGTAGAGTACCTCTGTAAGCTGGGTTGCCAGGAGCTGTAGGTTGAATACCAGGGGTAGGCTAAATAGAGTGTGTTGTTAACTCATGTTTTGAAGACATGACACCTCCTGCTTTGTGCTGCCTTATTCCAGTTCTGAGGTAGAGGCAAATGAAGGGGGCTGGCTTCTTCTGGCAAGAGAAAGATGCAGTGAGAGTTATAATTAAGGCCCAGAGGAAAAACAGTCCTGTGTTCTTGGCTGCTGTTCTTGGTGCAGTCTTCCAGCTGAGCCAGGCTTTTTTGGTCGCTTGTCTATTGATTTTTGGATAAAACAAAAACTACTTCATGTGTCTTAAAAGATCAGATTTTTGAAAAGGCTACTTTTTTACGAGGATGTAAAAGCTGTTGACTAGGATGGAATGTGGGCATTTAAAAAATCCCATTTATAAATGAAAGGGTCTACTAATCCTATGGCACTAGATCAGGTGTTAGATTAATACAGCAATCAGTAGATGCTTCTCACTTCTGGGTTTACAAAAATTATATGGGAAAGATTCAATACTCAATCTTGAGATTAGCTCGTATTGATTACAAATATGAGCGCTGATTAGCTGATTATCAATCCTATCAAATAAACTTTTTAACCTGCACAGTGCTTCTTCCTAAAAAAAGGGCTGTCTTCCTGCCCAGATCTGGACTGTTGTCTGTGTCTGTCAGGAGTTTTTCTTGATGACAGAAAGTTTAGAAGATCTGTCATATCACAGCTACATACACACATAGTGCATGTGATATGACAGCTCTGCCTCTGCCACTCTGTGGAGTTTTTTCACTGCAAGTTGCATCACTTTTTTTGTTAAGTCTTGGAGAGTACATTTCATTTTCCTCAAGCCTGGTCCCACCCTAATGGAATGATAGTGTATTTTTTTTTTTTTCACGGTTAAATTAACTGTTCAAGGACAGGTGGAAGAAGGGGAAGTACACATTTTTACATGCAAAGAGGCACTTTTGCATTCAGGCTGAACTAAGAATATTGGCATATGTCCTTCCAGAATTTTGTGGCATGGTTTGTGATCTGCCATTAGGATTCTGCATCTGCAGCAGTTAGCATGGTAAGGAATTTCTCTTGCCTGCCATATTGTGATCATGGTGTTGCCAGGATGTTGAAGAAAAGTGTTGGTTCAGATGGAAAAATTGGATCACCCTTTTGAAAAAGCCCAGATAAGCAATTTTGAACATGACACCTGCCTTCATTTGAAAGACAAGAGTCTGCCAAGGAAGGCAGGAATCTCCCTCAGAAAGGAAAATATGATCCCTTTCCCTCTGAACTATATAACTTTTAAATTATGGGGCTTTGAGGCAAAGATACGAGAAAAGCAATAGCAGTTCTTCACTAGAAAATGTGTGTATATTCTCGGCCGTCCCTGGGCTGCGCTTTCCCCTTGGGTGCAGTTCCGGTCACAGCCAGCAGGGGCGCTGCTGGCTACCGGCCGGGCAGGGCGGGGCGATGATTCCCCCGCGCCTGCAGGGGGCGCTGTGGCGCGGGCTCGGCCCCGCTCTGCCCGTGGTGAGGGCGGCAGAGAGGGCAAAGGGGCTTCCCTCGCACCCCCGCAGGGGCAGCCGGGCCGGTGCCCTCGGGATGGGGAAATGGCGGCGGCGGGAACCGCGGGCCGCGGCTGGAACGGCAGAGGCTAGCAGGCCTCCGGGGGCAGTGAATCGAAGTGTAGCACTAAGCCCAAAGTGGTGGCAGAGGCAAAAGGATTGGGGGGTCCTGGTGGGTGCTGGTTTTTCGGGCTAAATTGTAGCAAAAAACCCAAAGCAGTGGCAGAAAATGGCCGGGGCTGCGCAGTGGCAGCCAGGCTCCTGAAAGCAGCTGGGAGATGCTCCCTTGGAGTGAGGAGCAGTTTTCCCCCGAGGCACCCGAGTAGATGAGGAGGGTCCTTCCCAGGGAGGCTGGGTGTTAACAGGTCCCAGTCCCACGGCCGCTCTGAGGAGCAGAGGCTCACCCACAGTAAGGAGAGCCAGTGAAGGACAGAACTCCGCGGTGGCAGCGGATTCTCCCTGCAGCAGCAGCAGCAGCAGCGTCCCCCCTCCAATCCCAACAGCGAGCAAGATGCTGAGATCAGCCCCTCATCCCACAATGAAAATCTGGTGGCATTTCTGCACTTCCAAAGAGAATGCCCCTGAGCTAACAGACTGCAGCAAGCTGCACTCTTCCCCTTCCTCCATGGCTACATATTTTGTCTCTCTTAAGTATCATTTTTATTATCTCTTAGGCAACAAATGGGAGAAAATTCCCTGAAAGAGGAAAAAACCCTGAAAAATCCTAGCTTTTTTACATTTTTTTACATTAATAGGGGGAAATGGTTTTGAACCAAGACTGTACCTTGCATAGTACATGCTCCAAGGCCCTTCATTTTTAAATAACTTTTTCTTTGCCTTGAGCAAAACTGTTTCACCAGCTCCAGAGTTTTGTGGATTACCTTGTTGTGAGAAGGGATCAGGAAATGCAGCCTTCTT